ACAGAAAAATACAGGGCATGCCTTCAGTGGGTGAAAAAATACCTACAAAAGGCTATGTCGAATTATGCCAATGAAAAAGGCCCAAAGCAGAGAACGAAGTTGTCAGCTGCATCAATGGAGAGACAAAAACGTGGCGATGAAAAAACTGTTGATCAAGTATCAAAGCAAATAAATGATGCGAACAAGTTTATAATTAAGGCCTGAGTGATGGTGTTGTAAAATCCCTGCAGCAAACTTGGTAAGCCACCCAAACGGAACATTTTATAGTATTGTCAACTTCATTTTTCCCATAGGGCTCTTCCATAAATTCACTAACGTGGAGAAAAGAAATAACCATCACACTGTTCTTTCAGCAATCAGGCAGGCAAGAAATTTAAAATTTTATGGGATAAGAAAACCGCAGTGACAGCTTGCAAGCACGTTGACTTCACACATAGAGAAGTGGCAAATTTCTGGCCTGCAAAAATGCACATTCACATCGGAAGCTTTGGTGCGCTTTGCTACCTAGATTCATGCAGTAAGCGCACTGAGATGAAGCCATGTTTGTCTGTGTGTATCAAATTGTAGTTCAAAACCCTTAAAAGCAAGGAAACTAAAATTTGCAGATCACATTCCTCAACCATACGTGAATTCGAAAGTGTAAAATTATTCCCTGCATTCTGACGTGCAGACATATTCCGATGGGTTCAAAGGCAATGAATATAAAACATATGGGGACAGCTAGGGATACCAAGTAGCCAAGTTGGACAGATTAGTAAACTGCTATTCCCATATTACGCGAACAAGTTGAATCTAGAAATTAATCGAGCAGGTTGAATTTGGAAACTATATTTCAAGTGAATTCTGTACAAGTCGAATGTTTGCATGACTATGAAAATATTCATATTTATATGACGATGCATATCCAGGCGCTTTTATCTTCTCAGTAAGCAAATATAGAGAGTTTTATATATATAAATATATATATACATATATATAATATGGTTAACAAGGAAGTAGAAGCACAGACATAGATTTCGGCGGAGATAGCAGTAGGCCAAAGAATGAAATGAATATCAAGTATTTCGTCATATTTCGTCATTCACCTGATTATTTATGTGTGGCCAAAAAAGGTAGTAAAATCCGTGCTTGTTTTCGCTACAGTTAGTCAAAGTCGATTATTAGTGTGCGACACAAAAAGGATAAGGTCAGTCGGCAGTTTCTGAAGAGATAACGCGCATAAATATTGGCGGGTGACGAATACTAACTTGTAACACGCAACACAGTGCCAGACAGCTTGACATAGCTGAGCTCGCTATGTACAACAATCAGTACTGAATCTTTACATCGATCGTCTGGACAATTTTGCCTACAGGCGTGATTCTGTTGCAGTGTTTATTTGCAATGCAAAAAAGCATGGAAGCTGACAGTGATGGTGAAGCGTCTTACTTGCTGTTGCTTCATATGGTAGAGAAACTGCATCTGCATAGATGAAATAAGCTTGTTTTTTTTGGTCCTCCAGCATACTTTCCACAGTGCGGCACCGCCACACACCGTTATTAGAAGCAGTGTGGTGAGTAAAACACAAATGATCAATTCCACTCGATTCCACTGCACATCGTTCAGCCGATTAGATAAATGGCCATTCACTGCAATTTCTTTAATTTATAGTTTCTTCCGAAACGCGTTTTGTTGATGTGTGCATGTGGATGTGCGCACGTGTGTGTGTTTCTGTGAGTGCGTTTGCGTGAGCCTGTATTTGTGTTCGGGTTTGTTATCAGCTTTCAACTCAGCAACAAGAAAAGCTGGGGAGCTGAAACTTTTGGAGCATGTTCCCACCCTATGTGCGACACTTCAATTTTGAAAATATCATCGTTTAAGCACGACTATCTGTAAAGTACAGATGCCTAAAAGAAAACATGCAAGTTTTTCGGCGAGAATGAGGATTCGGAAATTAAATAAGATAGGGAGTTGAAATTTCGCAACGATATTTTCTGCCCTTGCGTGAGCCAAAGGCATCAAATTGAACTTTAACACGCACCTACATTACGGTATGGGCAAGTCAGTGTTAAGATAGAGAATTGCTGGCAAATGCGAACTCGACGACTAGGCCATATGGAATGCCTTGATTGT